TACAGAATGGGAGAAAAATCTTTACCACCTGCACCTCAGATAGAGCATTAATCTCTATCTGGACATATAAGGAACTCAAAAAATTTAACTCCAAAAAACCCAAATAACTCAATCAGTAAATGAGCAAAGGAATTGAATAGGCACTTCACAGAAGAAGAAATACAGTCAGTCAACAAATATATGAAAAAAAAGTTCAATATCACTAGCAATTAGAGAAATGCAAATTAAAACCACACTGAGGTTCCATTTCACTCTAGTCAGAATGGCAATTATCAAGAATACAAGCAACAATAATTATTGGTGAGGATGTGAGAAAAGAGTACACTCATATATTGCTGGTGCACATTGGTGCAACCACTCTGGGAAGCAGCGCAGAAGTTCCTCAAAAAACTAGGAATGGAACCACCATTTGACCTGTTTATACCACTCCTTGGTATATATTCCAAAGGAGTTAAACCTACAATAACACATCAATGTTTATAACAGCTCATTCACAAGAGCTAAGCTATGGAACCAACATAGGTGCCCTTCACCAGATGAATGGATAAAGAAAATGTGTATATATATAAACAATAGAGTATTTATTACTCAGCTCTAAAAAAGAATGACTTCATGACTTTTGTCAGCAAATATATGAAAGTGATCTCCACTATCATGCTAAGTGAAATAAGCCAATCCCCCCAAAACCAAAGGTAAAATGTTCTCTCTGATATGTGGATGCTAACACATAACAAGGAGGGATGAATAGAAGTTCAGTGGATTTGACAAAGGGGAATTCTGAGAAAGGAGGGGGATAGGAATAGGAAAGACAATGGAATGAATCAAACATAACTTTTTTAAGTTCTGATCTGAATACATGACTAGTGTAACTCCACATCATGTACAACCACAAGAATGGGGTCCTAATTAGAATAAGTTATACTCAATGTATGAATATATATCAAAATACACACTACTGTCATATGTATCTAAAAAAATTCAAAAGGAAGAAACCTAGAAATAAATAAGTAAATAAATATCCTCTGGGAGTAAAGATCTTATGCCACTCTCCTATCTTCCCCAAGTGTTCTGTGTTCTGCAAAGTCCCCTCCAAAATCCAGAAGCTTGGAAGGAGCATGGAAAGAAGATACTGTCTTCACTCCAGAAATGTTTCTGGGCTTCCCCTACTTTGGGGTGTTTGCTTTTTCCTAATGAGGACTCTATTAGGGAGCCTGAATGTCAGGAGTCAGTATTGTGCACTGATTAAGACAGGTTCAGCCAAACTGCAGGCTTCAAAATGTAGCTGTACTATAGTCAGTTGCTCATTCTCTCCATTTCCTTAATCTGTTTCTTTACCTGAGAAATAGGAGGGATGATAATGCCTATTTTATAAAGTTGTTGTGAGAATTAAATGAATCATTACTGTAAGTAACATGATTGGAAAGGCCTGCATATAGTGAGTTCTATAAAAATACTTTTTGAAAATATTATTTGCCCCCCACCCATGCCATTTGTCCTTAACAATAGAGTGGGTTTTCCTGCAAAAAAAAAAAAAAAGTAATTTAAATGTATATACATTGAATCTTGGTTATTTATAGTAATCATAGAGAAAATTGCTATCAGACTTATCCTTTTTATTTCTGTGTAAGGAAAGATAGTGGAATGAATCAAACATAGCTTTTTTAATTTTTTTTTTCCTTTTTTCTTGCCTGTATTTCAAATTTTCTCTTCATTCCTGGTTTAAAACAATTCTATTACAAAACACCTTGGGTTTTTTCCATTGTGTTTCTTGTGCATAATCCATTGATCTTAATCTTGGATCTGTAAGTTTATAGTTTCCATCAAATTGGGGAAATTTTTGGCCATGATTTCTTCAAACATATTTGTCTTCATGTATCCTCACCACCCCTGCCGCCCCCATCTCTCTTCTCCTTTAGGGATTCGACTTCCACAGTTTGCTGTTTAGAGTTGTCTTATAGTTCACTTAGGCTGTTTCTTTGTCTACTTTTTAGGGCTTTTCCTCCTCTGTTTCATTTTGGAGAGTTGCTATGACCAGGTCTTCATCACAACCTTCACATTTGGAACATCTAATCTGCTGTTAATCCATCCAATATGTTATTATCACAAACGTTGGTGACTTCATCAGCTGGCCCCAAATCTGTTGTTCGGGTCTTTTCTCATTCCCTTTTACATGTCCACTGAACATCCTCAGCATTTCTTCTCGGTTTTTGTACAGAAACAATGTTAGGTGCTTTTGTCAAATGTCATTTCTGAATCAGTTTCGATTGATTGGTTTTTCTTCTCATTATGAGCTGTATTTTCCTGCTTCTTTTTGATTGGGAGATGTCTGATTTTGTGACTTTTATCTGATTGGGTGCTGGATATTATTACATTTCTAAAAATATGAACTCTGGTACACTCCATTTCCTGGTATTTACCTCAGGGTTCTGTTCCTCTCCCCGCCTTCCCTGACCACGTTGTCTGAGCTTCACTTGTCAAACTCAGTCTCTTACCCTGCTGTGCCGCTCTTCAGACCCTCATTATATGTGGGCATTGTGATATGTGTCCATGTGCACGTGTGTGCACATGTGTGTGTGTGTGTGGGGGGGGGGTCAGCCTCCCTACTACATAGGACAGGAGCTCCGTGAGGGCTTTGCTCTTGTCTGTCCTCGTCACTGCTGCATCCCAGAGCCTAGGACAACTCTCTGGCACATTTTAGGCCCTCAGAGAAGATCTGTTGAGTAAATAAACAAATAAATACCAGATACTATGCTGGGTGCCATTCAACACCATCCTGTGATGACACTGCCTTCCAAGGTGACCTTAGAAGTCTGTCAGGAGAGCAAAGTGAGAAAGAGCTTTTTCTACGAAGCAGGGAGAATAGATGTTCGACAGTCGAAACAACTAAAGAGAAAGGTCTGGTACAGCTATTCAGGAAAATAGGGTTTATGAAAATGATTCCACTTTTTGCTTCTCTTGGCCATAGAAATCCTAGTTAACCAACTTCCTTTTAAAGATATTTTCCCTGAATTTAGAAGAAAAAAGTCTTAACAGTATTGGTATTCTGGATGTTTTTCCCACAGGCAACATGATAAAGCATTGAAGTTTATCATGTACTTTCCTTGTGTGTCTGTATACATCCTCCATCCCTCTGCCTCCAATGTGAACTTGGTGCTGGTGGAAAGGAATCGTGGAGCCTTGGTGTTGGAACTCTCTGATCAGGAGGAGGGGTGACCTTCCCTGGGGCAGCCATTTCAGTATGTCTTGTAATTTCACCTTCAAGGAGGCACTTGAAGGGCTGACCTAGTATGGAGAGCCTGGCTGAGTCTTCAACCTTCTCTCTGCTATATGGATTCTGTGACAAATGTGCCAATTAAAGTGGTGGCTTTGTGATGAAGCCTCAAGTAACGAGACCCAGAACGTATCTCCGTTTACTTCACATGGCTCAGCAGATGGAAACTACTTTCATTGCTACCACATTGTCCTGATTTAAATCAGGGTCCTGACACTGAAAAGGGAACTCTGCAGCCGATTAGCCAAGCCCCAAGTTAAAACTGTGTTGCTCTTGTTTGTATTTCTCAGGGTGTTTTCCTGATTCTATTTCTGGCAGAGTCTTTGAAGAAGAATAGTTTTCTTTTGTGAATTAGTAAATGGAATTTTTTTTAAAAAAAATAATGGATGTGTATCTGAGAGCTTGAAGTATATGCATGTGCTTTTTGAAGAAAATATTTTCATTAATTCACCAAAGAAAAGTATTTGTTTAGGAAGATTTCTTGAAAAAAAAAAGTTAAGATAAAATATCCTTTAAATTGGTAAAAATTTCCCATGTATTTAAAAACAGGTTATGTAAACCAAATTGGCAACAGAATATTTTGCTTCTAGTTCAAGGAAGCACAAAAATGCTTCATGTTTCATGACCTAATTTCTGGCTTTCTAAAATAATCATATTTACATATAAGGCAGAAATATAGAACCATAGAGATCTATTTTTTGAATGAAAGCATGTGATGTTGTATCTTACATGTTAAATTTGAATAGTTCTTATTTTTAGGCTTAAAATAAGTATGCTTTTAATATTCTTTAGTGCCATGTGATTTTAACTACAGCTTATTTTTCTTTCCAAAAGTCACTTAAAACAGGAAATGAAGCTTACCAAGTACTTGAACAATATTCTTTCATCTTGGTATTTACAAACTCTCACTTAGAAAAACAAGGCTCATGTGCAAACTCTTGGAATAACAGAGCACCTGCTCTTGAGTTCCTGCCAAGCATCTCTCCCCACTCAACCTGAACATTGTATTTTCATGAGCATTTCACAATATTTCTCATCCCTGTTCCCAGTCTTGACCCACTGACCCAAGAATCAAGAAAATGTCATGTTAGTGCCTACTAATTAGTGCACCCAGAGAGCCTTTTCATCTGGCCTTTCAACCTTCTGGAGGAAGGAGCACAAGCTGTCACTTGCATCATGCAGGGAAAATGAGCCTTTACTACATTTTCCCTGTTTTGCAAACAGCCGAATAAGCCCAGCTGAGCTAGAGATGAATATGCAGGTTAGGAAGAAATTAACCTAAAATGCACTAGTGTTTGCATGACAGTGTTACAGATGAGACAGTACTGCTTTGTTGAAATACCCCTAATGGACTTCCACAAGCCTGAGTTTTTTAACTCCAGTATTGCTGTTGCCTCACACTTTCATTTCAAAATTATCATAATCATCTGATGAAGTTATTTTAAGGTTAAAAATAAAACAGTTAAAAAAATGAGTAGCATTTCAATGCATTGAAGTTTCCCTTGTTTTAAGACATGTTTTTGGAGAATGCTATAGTTTGTTTGTGAGCATATTTCGTTTGAGCTCATTAATCAGTGCTGTTGGGCCAGGGTCTCCTGAGCCTTCTGGGTTTGGGGGGAATCAGCTACTGTAATTAAAGGGATGAAATATATCATGGTCACAAACTTACTGCATCAGACAATTGAGGGTTTTATACTAGTAGAATTAATCTCTTTAATTTTTTCCTTAGGTGTTTAAGATAGAAGTGCTAATGAATGGAAGAAAACATTTTGTTGAAAAAAGGTACAGCGAATTTCATGCCTTGCACAAAAAGGTAACCTTTGGTTTTTGTTCTTTGCCTCCTTTTCTCTATATGGCAGATGATATAATGTTAAGACTCCTTTCTGTGGTTCTAGGAGCACTAATATTTCTTGTGTATACATGGTTTCTATTATCATGATGTAAATTTCATTTTAAAATGGATTATTCAGTCTCTTAAAGGTGTGCTTCCTGTGTAGATGGGGTTTCTCTTGGGATCATTTGCATATACAAATCTGAGGCTGCAAACCATTTGTAGTATACTGCATTAAATGTTATAGCTTCTGAAAGAATAAGACCCAGACCCTGTTTTATCCATGAAATATTCTTAATGTTCTGTGCAAAAGGGAAAAGCAAAGTAAACTATCATTTTATGGAACAAATTTATTAAACTCAACTTTTATGTACCTGGATAAGATAATATACATGTATATACATTTTCAAGACTGGGGAACACATGCAAAAGAGGATCATAGATCCTCACCTTCTTTTGAGTTGTAAAGGGCCATTATAAAAGACTGATGTTTCAGTTCTGGAATCTATTTCTCTAAAAGTCTTATATAAAGGAAACAGAATGTAAAAGCAATAACTGAGTTGTAGGGGAAAATGATCAGTAATGAATAGAAAAGTGAACAGTTTTTATCTTTTAACCAAATTTAATTTTTTGCAGGTTACAAATTATTATGGGGGTGCTGACATTATCTTAATTAGAAATACCTTATGAAATTGCTCAGAAAATTAACCATATATGAGTCAGTGAAATTTTACTATTTTTTTCATATGTATGAAATATATATGTACATGTCAATATGTATATATGTATTTACCCACCCACATGGACTGTATATATAAAATATATACATACACATACAATGTATGACATAATTCAGTCTCCTTATTGGTTAGGTGAGAATTAGATGATTAGATACTGAGTACATATTAAGAAAGAGAGTCATTTTTTAAAAAAGATTTCATTAATGACCTCTTCAATTTTCTGGGAAATATCATTGCATAAATAATTTGTGATGGTGTACTAACTCTGTATTTAAACTTTTTAAACATTTTTTTTTAAATTAAGTTTTCCCACTGTGTTTAATCAGAAAAATGGAGAATTGAGTATAAACTTTAACAGAATATTGTTGGGAGGTTAGTGAGCCTGTTGCTCTCTGTTTTCCTTTAAGGGGAGCTCCAGGTTGTCTGTATGCTTCTCTGTTAGGACAGCAAGGGATAATTCACAATGAATCCTCCAGTTCAAATTTTGTTAAGCTCAGGTTCACTTTCAAAAATAAAAATAAAAAAGAATTACAGGTGAATAGCTATTTAGGCCAGGTTTTGCCAGCAAATTTTCCAAAGCACCAATTCCAGAGGCTCAAAGAGAAACAAACCTGAAATCTAGGTTTCACTTCCTTCTCATGGAATTCTGTTTTCATTCATTTTTTGAAGGAAACAGGCTCTGGAGAGGTTCTGCTGGATACCTAATGACTTAGTCTCTCCAAGGAGAGAGAGTAAGACCAGCTCTTCCCCCATACCCCACTCATCTTCTGCCAACCAGTCTGGACTAGGCAACCTGTCATGTGTAGGTTCCTTCCTAACTGCCTGGGTCAGCACCCAGTACTGCATGACCCGACAAAGCCCAGCTCTTCTCTCCAGATACTGGGATCGGCTCACAGGAAGCACAGCTGGGTGATTGCCAATTAGGCCAGCTCTGAGCAGGCTGCCCAGGCTGCTGGAATGGAGGCTCACTCACCCTCTTCTCTAATTCAGTTTGTTTTCCTCTGCAGCAAAGGACCTTCTCCCCAGTGATCTAGGCAATTCTTAGGTATTTGAAATCAGAAAAAAATTCCTAGATTTATTAGGACTTGCTCTCCTCTCAATTTCTACAGTTCTATTAATAATTTTAGCTAGTCTCATAATTCCATAACAAAGTTTGCTAGAATTAAAACAGAACAAATTCTCAAATTCTTCAATTTTGCATATTTCTAGCAGCTTTGTTAAAATATTTGTGATATCATTACAGGGACATAGAGACAAAAATAGGTTTGTGGGACAGAGTTTTAGTTGGGATGCACTATCTAATCTTCTGCATTCTAGAGGTGATAGCCACTGCTAGAAAAGTCATCTTTACTTATATTAAAGAGGTAAAGTTTCCTCTACTTGCCCCATTTGACTGTATTAGATTTCACAAAATGCTAACTATAAAGGCAATTAAATACAAGTAATAGTAAGAAGTAAAAAGAAAAATCATTCTGTAATCTTGATTGTAAAAGTGTGTGCTAAGGATTAAATGGGTAAAAAAAATTAATCCAAATATTGTACACAGCTTTATTGATTCTGTTGCCCATGTGTGGCCTCATTCTCTTTTTACAGTTTTCCATATTTGAATTTTGTAACAGGATATGAATGTTATATGTTTACCAAGAATTATGTTCCCTTAAATGTAGTTGAATCGATTGTCATTTAATTTTCTTGAAATATTCAACTATTTCTGCAGTGTATGTAATTTATTCTCTCACCTATCTTGATTTTTCTTACCTTTTACATTACATTTCACTTTTGCTTAAAGTGTTTAACCAGCGTCCCCAAGTTGACTCTAAATAACATATGAGCTATTTGCAAGTGCTTTGCACCTTTAGGATAATGAATGAATAGCTTCTGTCCATGCACCACAGCAACACACACACACACACACACACACACACACACACACACACAATGCCGCCTAGCTGATTGTCATTGCTGATTTAAAGGCAGAAACTAAAACCATTACCTACAGTTTGGATAGTGTTAAAGAAAGTCCTTAGTGCTTATTACTTCTCCTGAACTTTTGTAATTGTACTTGTTAAAGTACTGTTTACATCTTTCTTAGAATTGTTTTTCTAACATTTGGAAAAATGTAAGAATTTCTTTCTACGTGTGCATTGTTTTTCTCCCTTCAACTTGCTTTTAAATTATAAACCGAACTCTTTTTAAAATTATTTTTTTGTATTTGTAGATGGACACAATACCTTTATTTTATTTAGTTTTATGTGGTACTGAGGATCAAATTCAGTACCTCACACGTGCTAGGCAAGTGCTCTACCACTGAGCTACAGCCACAGCCCCATAGCAGATTTTTAATGTAACTGGCAAGCATGAGAGTGTAAGGTTCACAGCACCCCATTAACTTGAACTTTATTTCTTCAAAAATTGTGTTTGTTTATTTGGCAGCACATATGCCTTGTTATTGTTGAATTGGTATCTCTTTAGTTTACTTAATAGTTATATCTTTTTTTTCAAATTGTCTATTTATGTGTGTTCTCATTTATCTACCTGGTCTTATTGTTTTTGCTTATTATTTTGTGTGGCCTTGAAATAAAATATTAGTCATTTGCTGAAAGTATATTTTACCTAGTGGCTATTTAATTTTTGTTATGAAGTTATTTTAATTTGAAAAAAATTTTATATTTTTATGTTTTATAATATGTCCATTTTTACTCTTTTAAATTTGTCATTTCTTCTAGAACTATGATGAGTATTTGATTCTTTTTTTTTTTTTTTAAGTTTCTATAGATTGTTATTTTTTCAAGTGTGAACTCTGGACCACCTAAGTGCTGATTTCAGGATGCCAATCAGACTCTGATGCAGCTCAGAAATCTGCTTATTAAACCAGCCCCCCAGAGGATCTTAATGCTGGTTCATGTTTGATAAATTCTATTGTGGGTTATATTTTTAAAGAAATTACTTATGACACGGCCCCTCTCACCTATCACACACACATACACACCCACAAGGTGTAGAGCCATACCGCTCAAGGTTTTAAGCCTCAAAGTGCTTCCCTACATTCTCTTGCCTGCATTATCCAGAATGTCACTAAGTCCTGTTGATTCATTCTTCCAAATATCTATAACATATACCATTTTATTTTTCATTGTGTACTCCTGCCATCCCAGTCCAGAGCTACTGTGGATTAGTGTTGCATTACCCATTTCTGATTCCTGTCTTCTTTCCATTCTCTGCTCATGCAGTTTTCCTAAAGCACCATTTCCATCTCAATTCTTGCACTCATTCTGAAATAGGCCTGTATTGTCTGCCACACTGTAGACATTGACTCTCAAGGCCCATATTCGTAAACTTCGAATGGTATCCTAGTGTCACTATAACACTAAGTGTCACCAAGCACTTAATGGCTTAAACCAACATGCCTTTATTATTTCACTCCAAATGGGTTGGCAGGACTACATTCCTTCTGGGGGCCTTTAGGAGAAAACCAATTTTGCCTTTTCCAGCTTTGAGAAGCTGCCTACCTTCTTTGGTTCATGGTCCTCTTTGATCTTCAAAGCCAGCAATCACGTTCCTCTAGCTTCTGCTTCCACCATAACATCTGCTGTCACATCTCCTCTCTTTGATTTTGACACACCTGCCTCCCCCTGTGGTAGCACTGAGCCCAGTAATCCAGGAAAGGCATCCTATTTCAAGATCCTTTGTTTAAATCTCATCTGTAAAGCTCCCTTTTCCATATAAGGGAATATATTTTTAGATCCTAGGGTTTAGGGATTCTTAGGCATCATTGAGGAAACCATTATTCTGTCTTCCTCAAACTCTTTGCTGGGCTGGTCTTATTTCTCACTGTTCCTCCTAAGAAAATGTCAGCCCAGCCACTCTGTCTCTCCCTGCACCCAGGTATCTGCTGTGAAAATCACCACCTCTCTCTCTTGTCAGGCTGAACATCCTTCTGTGTTCTGACCATTCCAACCAATCCAAGATGGGTCAGTTTCTCCTTCTTCCTTCCATGCCAGCTTCCTTGGTTCCCTAATGTCTTTGTCCTGGAATCTCTTCCATTTAGAATAGAAATTTCTACTTAAACACTCAAAACATCTAAGATAACTAAATCTTAGTCATCCCTAAATTTTGTCAAATTAGAAGATAATTTTGTTTTAAAGGAGGGACCAAGCCTTATCTTTTGTATCTTTCTTGCTGTTAGAGTGTTGGGCACATCTTAGGCATTGAATGAATATTTGGCAAATGGGATATTTGGAG